TAAAAAATAATAATAATAATAAAAGAATTTGATAAACATAATTTCAAACCGGCAGAAAATGTCTGTTTTTCCAATTTTTGTATTTTGACGAGCGCCTAATTTCACCACGCTGCCTAGAAATTTCAGCTGTGGGCAAGCTCAAGACATGATGACAATTCTGTCATGTGTTAACTTCCGAGGGTAAGTCGAGACATAACTGGTCGCTTTTTAGCACAACGGGGCTGGCTATCTCAAAAAATGCTGTTGTGCGAAAAATCGAAGGTAAATTTATGGACTCTTGTTCAGTTTCTCTAAGGGACAAATAGAATTTTCTCTTCAACCAAACTAATGTGAAGCGTGCGGACAAAATGAGTTACTTCTCGTAACCCAAGACCGGAGGTGTCTGCCGAAAATCGACACTGGGACCAGATTGATAGATTTCTTATTGCTTCCATTTTGTTCAAGTCTACGGTGTCTTTTAATATTCCATATTCACAAATGTTACAAACTCCAACTAAAAAGTTGATGTACTAAGTTCCATAAAAGGCTAAAATCAAATCCGAGAAGTTACTCCTTTTGTCAGCTCACCACACAAATATACACACTCATGAAATCAAACTTCTCCTATAGGTAGGGCAATGCCCACTTTTGGTGTAGGTCAAGATTTCTGGAAACCTCCAAAATTTGGGTTAGCCCGCTTGTCCTGTAACTGAAGAGCCATACCCATCTTTCCAATAGCAGCGCAACATAACTGAAAATCATAAAAAGTGTAGATACGTCACTCTGCCTTGTCACGGCAGTATAATTTTAGATAGTAATTTCAGCTGGTGAGCTCAAGTAGACAGAAAGTGCATTACTTTGTGAGGTGTGCTGACAAAATGAGTTACTACTCGGATTTTAACCTTATGGAAATTAATACATCAACTTAAAAGGTGGAGTTTGTACAATTTGTAATTATGAAATAATAAAAGACAGGGTAGACTTGAAGAAAATGGCATCAATTTTAAGGACAAGCGGGCTAACCCAGATTTCGGGGATTTCCAAAAATCTTAAATCTTGACCTACACCAAAAGTGGGCATTACCCTATCTATAGGAGAAGTTTGGTTTCATTGGTGTGTATTTGTTTGGTAATAGAGAAAACTCTCCTTTTCTTTTAAAGAAACTGAACAAGAGTCCAAAAACTTTACCTTCGATTTTCTCAAAACAGCATTTTTCAGGATAGCCCCCTTGTGCTTAAAAGCGACCATTTGTTATTGTTGTTGGTTCATATCACGTTCTTGAAGGAGTCAAAAGAGGTGAAATGTTGAACGCATTTTATAACGTCAGTAAAACTTCAATTAAAAAATACTCAAGTCTCCATCATCAACTTTTCTCTCTTTTCCCCCTATCAAACTCACAACAACAATAACAACATCAATGATGATGATGATGGTGATGATGATGGTGATGATGATGATGATAATGATGATGATGATGATGATGATGATGATGATGATGATGATGATGATGAGGACCCTATCATCAAACAGTACCTCAATCTATAACAATGTGATTATGTTCCTTATCTTCCCTTCTATTTATGTTTGCTAATCTTTTGTTACACCTCAAATCTTCTTGCGCTCATATGACCTCATGCTGTTGCGAGCGCCGTAAAACATCTACTAAAGCTAAAACTGAACAATGTGATTATGTTCCTGTTCTAGGCACGAAGAAACCATACCCCTCCCAGATGCCCACAACATTTTCAACATCACCACCAACGACAACGAGAAAGTCAACAACAACAACAACAACAACAACAACAGCAACGACAACGGCAGCAACAACCACTGTGCCCCCAACAACGAAGAGGACCACGAAGACAACGACCACCAGTACAGATAACGACCGTTGGGTACCTGGAATCTGTAAAGACAACTTCCGCTTGGACGCAATCACGGAGGGTGGGTGGTCATGTCTACTTACGGGGGTTTTCTTTTTTTTTGTTTTTGTTTGTTTCATTAGAGGTTTTACGACGCTCGCAACTGCATAAGGTCATATGAGCGCCAAGGGGTGGATGGCAACAGAGAAGTCCTTACACTTACAGGGAATCAGACTTACTCTGCTCACCTCTCTAGCTTCAACAACACAAAGTCTGCTTCGACTATCAAGGCACCCCGGAAATAGCGGGTCACAAGAGTGTGACAAGCATACAAAAGAAGTAGAGGAAAAATGACGATAGTAAGAATTAGGAAAGAAAAAGCGGCAGTTCCCTGTTGCAGCTCAGTCACAGTCATGAGCATGACATTGATGAATCAGCACATTTACAATTGCAATTTTACTATGCATGAGAACTCTCCCCCTCTTTGGAAATGGCCTAAAGAGCATAAGAAGTAGAGATGTTAATGTCCCCCCCCCCCCCAAACACACACTTTTGGGAATGGCCTAAAGACACTTCAGTCAGTAGCACCGCCACATGGGGTAGGTTGATATTTAAAAATCTTCTGTATTAATTTGCTATTGGTTTTAGTAAGTGTTTTACGGCACTTGCGACACAATGCGGGCGTATAGGTGCCAAACATTTGAGGTGTTACAAGAGAGTAACAAACACAAAAAGGAGGAGAGATAAGGACGGTAGATGTTTGATAGGAAAGAAGGAGCAAACCAGAACACCCGACAACCACCCACAAAAACTATTGGTGAAGAACACAATGTAAGTATAAAAAGAATACAAATTCTAGGGAGTATCATATTCCACATCGTATGGTAATAGTTGTTACGTCTGGTCCATTAATCAACCTGACACAAAAAGGAATACAGCTTTCGAAGTGTAATGTTGTATAAGAGCTCTTGGAATCTCGCGAGGACGAATAGGTATAAAAACAACACTCCTTCAGATCATAAAAAAGTGAAAGTATGTGTTCAAAGGGTGAATTACAATGGCCAAGGCTAGTTTTTTTTAAAAGAGTCAAATCCCGAAAAATAGGAACATCTCAATGACCTCCAAAGTGGAAGTCCTAAAATGCTTTGTATGGTCGACCCTTCTATACGGCTGAGAATGCTGGACAATCACTAGAAACAGTGAAAATACAATAGAAGCAACAGAAATGTGGTTTCTTAGGAGACTGCTAAGAGTATCGTGGAAGGAAAAGAAATCAAATGAGGTAGTGCTTGATGAAGCCCGCGTGGGACGATCAATGTTAAAAACAATCAGGAAACGACAAATGCAGTTTTTCGAACACTTGAATAGACATAAGGGTCTTGAATATCTAGCTCTCACTGGCAAAATTGAAGGCAAACGAGGCAGGAGTAGGCCCAGAACAGCCTACTTAGGGAACTTAAACAAATGGGTATCAGCGAAAGATCAGGGAAACATAGCTTTTTTGAGAGCATTCGAGCAAAGGAATGAATGGAGAACCATGATCGCCAATGTCTGTCGCAGATCTGGCGCTGGATGATGTGTTCACATGAAAGTCTTTTTTTTTTCTTCTTTTCTTACTAGATTTATTTATTTAGTTCACGTTACACAACTTCATTTGAATTATCGTCCTACCCCACTTGATTCTATATTGTAACTACATTTGAAATTCTCCCACCCCCTCCCAACTCAATTCACAGGACCAGACGGTTTCATGTACGCATTTCGTGGTGACAAAGTCTACAGGATAGGCGCAGAGGGTTTGGAGTTCCGATTCCCGCGTCTTATTCGTGACATTTTTCAAGGAGCTCCACGAAGACACATCAGAGCTGCGACCTACGTGAAGGAAGAGGGCAAGCTGTATATGTTTAAAGGTACGGTAGGAGGCGAAAGTGAATGAGAGGGAGAGAGAGAGAGAGAGAGAGAGAGAGAGAGAGAGAGAGAGAGAGAGAGAG